ACGTCTTAACACTAAAACTAACCCTATAGACGGGCATTCTGTTTAACGTCTTAACACTAAAACTAACCCTATAGACGGGCATTCTGTTTAACGTCTTAACACTAAAACTAACCCTATAGACGGGCATTCTGATTTAACGTCTTAACAATAAAACTAACCCTATAGATGGACATTCTGATTTAATGTCTCTATAGTACATCATTATGTTAGAAAAGGATACCAGGTAATTGAAATAACTGTTGCACAATTTTTCTTATCAGAAAAGTGTTAACTAATATAATTGAAAGAAATGACATTCATAAAAAAGGTGGTTTCCATATTTCTGCATTTAAAATCTTCATTGAAGAATATCTTTGTCACAAACTTCATTGTAAGGATATGTGTTTAAGAAAGGTGGCATACACCCTTAAATTATTAACTAATCTTAGTCGTAGACCATATATGTAATATCACATTGTCTTCTGGTGATAAAATACTTTCCTATTTTTTTTCGAGGAGAATATTGATGAAAAATATGGTAGACAAGAACAAAAATCAATAGAAAATACTATACAGATGCTTTAGACTGATCATTTCATTTCCCTTTGACTAAGTCTATAAGCTATTAAACTGTCCATAAACTGGTACATTTGTTATTGCAAATAATTACATTCATTACTAAAACCAAAGACAGAATAATTCTTGTAGTCTGAGTTAGAAAGATATTCATCTTAATAGTTTGATGGAAAACAAAGACAAGGAAAGAACTATTTCACTGACAGTGCAGAACAGTTAGACATTGTCACATTATATAGTATATCCTAAGGGCTGACGTACCAGACTTATGAATAAGGAGTTGAGGTAAAAGTGAGCAGCACCTGAGAGGTGTATGATATATATGTCGGAGAAGGAGATTAATGACTTTGTTGTAATGAAATCACCTTCACTAGGCATAAAGGCACACCACAATGTCGCGTGAAGGTGATGCGCTTCGTGATGTCGGCTTCCTGTGTATTACTAGTGTAAAACATTTCCTAGTACAAATACCAGTGTTGACTGTAGTCTTTTTTTTTTTTATAAAAGTTGGGTCCCAAGCAGGTAATTAATGATGTAAATATCAAATAAGAATATAAGACAAATCTTTTTGATATTTGAAATTTGTAGATATGAGATAATAACTGTTAAAAATTCACTAAAAAAGTCCAGTTTTAAGCAGTAATGTTTCAGATAGGAAAAGTGAAAAAAAAAAACCGCAGTTGTTTTGTAATCTTAAGTTTTATTGGAAAACCAGTAAGTCACTTCCTGAGGGTTGAATCTCAATTATTATTCCTACACGAAATTTGTTAGGACTAGATACTGGAGCTTAAGATAAAACTGATCATGATTCATTATACATTTTTGATGTAGTTTGTGAAACTACTGCTGTCAGAGTTATTTCCCTTTGACCACTCATTTTATACATAAGTACTCGACCTCCACTGATAACAGATAAGAAACCTCGACAATAACTGATAAGTAATAACAGATACGTAATGAATGTGTGTTGAAACAACCTTCGACTTCAGTCATGTTTTATAAATTTTATTTAGGAGGAAGTAAATCTGATTGTTTTTTTGAAAATTTCAAAACTTTACTATATGTTGAAGGGTAACTCAATACAAGGATGTATTTCATGTACAAATGATTTGAATAGCATGAGATATTAAGCTGAAACATCCTACTTAAAATGGCACAAAATTACGTCATAAAGAAGTATCATTAAATAGTGTTAATACCCTAGACCGGTGTATGAATCCAAATGACCTTGACCTACTGTTAATGGTGTCAAAAACTTAATAGTGGCGGAATATAAACTTAGTGGCAAAGTATATACATAGTGGTATTAATTTGACATGTAGATCTCTGGATGATTGAACAGGCTAGCAAGCTTGATCAAATAAGTTAGCATGAAAGGTGGAGATAATGTGAGTAAAATAGCTATGCTCACTGAATTTTGGTATTGTTCGGCATTGTTTACTAATACGTAAGCATGTCCGGTTGATATTTTGGGTAAATTCAAAATTGTGTTCGAAAATTGCTAGGGAACCAGTGGTACATATTGGGAAATTTAAGCAGACGTAGCGGTCCTGATTTCCTGATTTAGTGTGTAACTCGCCCAAATTTTGAGAACCCATACCCACAATATCTCTAAGTTATGAGTCTCATCGATATTTTGAAAGTGCTACCAAAAAAAGTACTAAAATTGCAAGGGACCTGATCCTATTGAAATGTTTTGAATGGATATCTTGTTTATTGATTTGCTTCTTCTATTTATTTACAGTCAATATTTTCTGTACTTTAGTATCACATACATGGCCTATACTCCTCTTGTATTCACGTCATTATAACCATTCATGTTTTTCCATGCTGACTTTTATGTATCAGGGCGTACTTAATCCTCCCTTTATATGGAGTTGATGCATGTTACTTTTGATATACAAATAAAATACAAGGTATATACAAACTGCAATCTGAGATCATGACCCTTAAGTCTGGAACTATTGTATAGAGAATGTCAGCTGGTGAAGGGGATAGCTGTACCTAATGCCCATTTCTGTGAGGTTGGCAGAAAAACTGCATGTCGGCTGGTACACGTGTGTATTTGACACTGCGAAGGCCACACATGTGTTTCAGTTACTAGGTTGTTATCTCAAGTTCAGTGACATACTTTTTCATGCCCTCAGATTTGGGCCAGATAAACAGCAGACATATACGTATTACACGTATACAATGTAAATATAGCATGATATGTCATGTTCTTCATGTAAGATGCCCTAATTAGACACTTTGTAATTTATAATCAAAATAAATACACCTTATATGTTTATTTGTGTTTTAGTATGGAGTCCTTGTAACTCTGGAAAAGTTGTTGGTGAGAAATAAAAACACTGAGATATGACCTGGTTTGACGTCATACTCTACTGGTGAAACCACCATTATTTTAAGACACCGCTTTCATTACTTTTGATTGCAATACTTTTCATGTCAACTACACCCTTATTAAGTGACCACCTGTGTTAAGAGACCACCTGTATTAAGAGACCACCTGTATTAAGATACCACCTGTATTAAGGTACCACCTGTGTTAAGATACCAACCGTATTAAGTAACCATCTGTGTTAAGAGACCACCTATATTAAGAGACCACATGTATTAAGGTACCACCTGTGTTAAGAATAAGAGACTCCCTGTGTTAAGATACCACATATGTTAAGAGACCAGCTGTATTAAGAGATCACCTGTATTAAAAGACCACATGTATTGAGGTACCACCTGTGTTAAGAGACCACCTGTGTTAAGATACCACCTGTATTAAGAGACCACCTGTATTAAGATACCACCTTTGTTAAAAGACCACCCATACTAAGAGACCACCTGTATTAAGATACCAACCATATTAAGCTACCACCTGTATTAAGATACTATCTGTATTTAGAGACCACATGTATTAAGGTACCACCTGTGTTAAGAGACCACCCGTATCAAGATACCACATGTATTAAGAGACCACCTGTATTAAGGTACCACCTTTGTTAATAGACCACCCATACTTAGAGACCACCTGTAGTAAGATACCAACCGTATTAAGCGACCACCTGTATTAAGATACTACCTGTATTTAGAGACCACCTGTTTTAAGATACTACCTGTATTAGGAGAGCACCCCTACTAAGATACCACCTGTATTAAGATACTACCTATATTAAGAGACCACATGTATTAAGATAATACCTGTATTAAGAGACCACCTGTATTAAAATGCCACTTGTGTAAAGAGACCACCTGTATTAAGCGACCACTTTTCGAGACTGAGAGATGATCATACATGTATTATGTTGATGTCGGGAGAACAGAATCCGTCCAAATTCCCAGTAGAATTTGGTAAAACTACAGTCTATTGACAAAAATCACTCGGAACTGCCACAGTAGATTTATACACGCTGTATTGATTTCCAGCTGTTACATATGTATAGAATAATCCGACAATGCTTTCATTACGATGCTACATTATGTATACCAGACAAATCATATTGGTCTATCAAAGTTCCTGTCCACATCCATATACATACCAACACAAACGTTTACCTCAAATTAGCAGCATACTGGCTGCAAAACTTTAACGAGCACATATATACTGTACAAAATTTAAACCAGGAAAAAATTGTTGCAAGTCTTGAATTTCTGAAAATAAAATCCATTTAAATATAAACACTGTATAGTTATATTTACTTGATCATGTCAAATCTATTATTGATATGTGTACAACTGTATGCATGTATATAGAAATGTACATGTAAATGGATTTCAGATGTTTCACTAACTGTATCAGATCTTCCCTTCTGGCTGTATATACCCTTTGATCAGTTAGCTTGTGACTGCTTCCAACTGCTAGCCTATACTAGTACATTCCACTACAGTTTCATTATTTCTTACCTTGGATTTGTGATTAATAAGTTCCTTTTGGTATTTAAGTATTTGGTGTGTACCAGACACCGGGCAGAAAGGCAGATTGTCCGTCATCCTCAGCTTGTACGTGCACCACCGTGACAGAACTGGTTGTGGAAGCTTACATATCTGTCTGTCGGGCAATGTCCTTGACCTGTGATAATCAGCCGGACAGTTTCTCCCAACCATCCACTCCTATCAGACTAAGTTAGAAGTAATTATATAAGAAGCATTACTTACTTCGTAAGACACAGTGGTTCTGACCAGAGCTTGGAGCTGTGCTGACCAGAGCTTGGAGCTGTGCTGACCAGAGCGTGGAGCTGTGCTGACCAGAGCTTGGAGCTGTGCTGACCAGAGTGTACAGTTGTGCTGGTCTGTGTTGGTATTTATCGGTGTGTCCTGCCACTGTTGCTATACCCTGTACATACCTGGGTAACTGCATGGTGGGTGCCCTTGGTGGTCGCCTATTATACTGTCCCACAATCACTCACTGTGTGTCACTCAGCTTAGTCATTCTGTTTATACTGTGGATCTAACTCCTGGAACAGATTTGGGACTTCTACCCTTAACTGTACTTCTATCCTTAACTAGGATTGGCTTGGAATTTTTGTGCCCGAAACTTAAATTCTGTTGACATCACTGGCACCGGTTGTCATTGATGTAAACTGGTGTGCTGCTGAACCCCCAGACTAAAAGTGCTAGTGTGAGGGCCTACCTGCGGATAACACGTGTGGGTATATAGTCCTGTGACAGCCTTCCCCGGTACTAGTGGAGAACTCCCCCGTGGGTATATAGTCCTTTGACAGCCTTCCCGGGTACGAGTGGAGAACACCCCCGTGGGTATATAGTCCTGTGACAGCCTTCCTGGGTACGAGTGGAGAACACCCCCGTGGGTATATAGTCCTGTCAACATGGCCAACACAGTGCCCCTCCTCAGCAGAAACAGACGGCCTTCGGCTGCTGTCGCAGAAAAAGATATCATGGTGTGTACTTTTGATACATTGAAGGTGTAAATAGAAATACAGAATTTTTGTTTTTTTATCACTTCTTCAGCGTAATAGATTAAGACTTAATTTAAATATGTCTCATGATTAGCGTCTGCAGTAATATAAAATATATACATAAAGGACCTATCAGTATATACATTAAAAAATGTTATGATGTAATTACACAAAACACAATATTATTGTAAAACGTGTCTTTTGAAGCCTGAAAAGAATGCTTCTATATTTAGAAGTTATACAATTAACAGTGGAGTGTAGGGATTGTTATGGATGTACTGGTGCAGTAGTTACAGATCTATTGGTGCACCTCATTGGGTATACCCTGCTTTCTGAGCAAATTACGCGTTACATGCCTCCAGTTCAATTGGTTAATAATAAAAGTAGGGGTTGTCATTCATTATTATTTTTTAAACATGACGTTATAAAGGTACTGTATAGGTACTATCCAGGTATAACACAGGTATTATACAGGTATAACACAGGTATTATACAGGTATTATATATGTACTATACAGGTATAACACAGGTATTATACAGGTATAACACAGGTATTATACAGGTATTATAAAGGTATAACACATTTACTGTACTGTACAGGTATTATACAGGTATTGTACAGGTATTATATAGGTATTGTACTGGTACAGTACAGGAATGATACAGGTAAAATACAGGTATTATACAGGTACAGTACAGGTGCTATACAGGTACAGTACAGGTATTACACAGGTACAGTACAGGTATTATACAGGTACAGTACAGGTATTATACAGGTACAGTACTGTACAGATATTAAACAGGTACAGTACAGATATTATACAGGTCCAGTACAGGTATTATATATGTACTATACATGTATAACACAGGTATTATACAGATACAGTACAGATATTATACAGGTAGAGTACAGGTATTATAGAGGTACAGTACAGGTGCTATACAGGTACAGTAACGTCTTATACAGGTACAGTGCAGGTACTATACAGATATTATACAGGAACAGTAAGGAATTATACAGGTATAATACAGGTATTATACAGGTACAGTACATGTATTATACAGGTACAGTACATGTATTATACAGGTACAATACAGGTATTATACAGGTACAGTACAGGTATTATACAGGTACAGTAAGGTATTATACAGCTTATACAGGTACAGTACAGATGTTATACAGGTACAGTACAGATATTATACAAGTACAGTAAGGTATTATACAGGTACTGTACAGGTACTATACAGATATTATACAGGTACTGTACAGGTACTATACAGGTACTATACAGGTTTTACACAGGTACTATACAAGTACTGTACAGGTATTATACAGGTACTATACAGGTATTATACAGGTACTTTACACGTACTATACAGGTACTATACAGGTATTACACAGGTACGATACAAGTACTGTACAGGTATTATACAGGTACTATACAGGTATTATACAGGTACTATACAGGTACTATACAGGTATTACACAGGTACTATACAAGTACTGTACAGGTATTATACAGGTACAGTAAGGAATTATACAGGTACAGTACATGTATTGTACAGGTACAGTACAGGTATTATACTGGTACAGTACAGGTATTATACAGGTACAGTAAGGAATTATACAGGTACAGTACAGGTACTATACAGGAACTATAAAGGTACTATACAGGTACAGTACAGGTATTATACATGTACAGTAAGGTATTATACAGGTACAGTACAGATATTATACAGGTACAGTACAGGTATTATACAGGTACAGTACAGATATTATACAAGTACAGTAAGGTATTATACAGGTACAGTGCAGGTACTATACAGGTACCGTAAGGTACTATACAGATATTATACAGGTACTGTACAGGTACTATACAGATATTATACAGGTACAGTACTGGTATTATACAGGTACAGTACAGGTGTGATACAGGTACAGTAGAGGTACTATACAGATATTATACAGGAATAGTAAGGTGTCATACAGGTACAGTGCAGGTACTATACAGATATTATACAGGTACAGTACAGGTATTATACAGGTACAGTACTGTACAGATATTAAACATGTACAGTACAGGTATTATACAGGTACAGTAAGGTATTATACAGGTACAGTGCAGGTACTATACAGATATTAATACAGGTACAGTACTATACAGATATTATACAGGTACAGTACAGGTATTATACAGGTACAGTAAGGTATTATACAGGTACAGTGCAGGTACTATACAGATATTATACAGGTACAGTACTGTACAGATATTATACAGGTACAGTACAGGTAATATACAGATATTATACAGGTATTGTACAGGTACTATACAGGTACAGTAAGGTATTATACAGGTACAGTACATGTATTATACAGGTACAGTACAGGTATTATACAGGTACAGTACAGATATTATACAGGTACAGTACAGGTATTATACATGTACAGTAAGGTATTATACAGGTACAGTACAGGTACTATACAGGTACAGTACAGGTA